CCATATGGTAATGTGTGAATGGGCCTCGTGTCACTTTATGTTGAACAAATTGGGCCCCGAGGTCAAAAAGGTTAAGAACCCCTGGAGATGCATCTAGTTTTTGCATCTGTAATGGTTATTGGTGTTTTCTGAATAAATGTGTTAAACGTAAGGTAACATCTCCTGAAGGTCTTCTCCATCAACTATCATCCATCAACTATCCATTTTTTGACCTGCATTGACCTTGTGTTTGATTTACAATTTTAGAAATTAATTCCTGATTTGATGTTTCAATTATCGTTGCTTATGTGTAATTATGTTTTTCTGTTACATTTTATTCTTTTCACCATTTTRACACTGTTAATGATTGTACAGCACCTTGTGAATATATTTCTGTGAAAGSTGCTTTATAAATYAAACTTTACTTACTTACTTAACWAACTCGGGTGAAGTAGAAGGTCAGAAAAGAGGTAAAAATATACTTCAACATTAGCAAAGTGGCTGTTTTCTGTGGTTGCCCGGGCCACCTGCTAGGTTTTCATCCAGGAAGAGGGTGTTATGATCCACTGTTAAAGTTATACTGTAAAAGAAAATGTTTTATTTCCTTTCCACTTATTGTGTGTTCTTCTGAAAAAATTTGCATGCTAACATAAGACTGATACAAAGGGCTAAATGACTGAGCCTCATTTGGGCTCACTTTCACAAACACATACAGAAAAGGAAGCAGGTGAAAAAATGTGGTACTTAATCCTTTATTGTTCAAAAGAAAGGGAACAATTCATTTATAAAAACACATTTAAATGCAGCTGTAGCAGTACATTTTTATTTGTACGGGATTAATCAAGATATGTCATTTACTTTGAAAAAATAAGTTCAAACAGATCATTTAAATCCACTGATAATAAATGAGAAAATCATCATTGCTTTATAGTTTTTGACCTTTTTTTGTTTGTTTGTTTTTTTAGGGTCTGTTCAGTGTCTGTGTCTGACAGCTGCATTTTTGTAGCATTTTTAGTAACAGTTTTGGATAAATACTTAACTTRACTATTATCTTAGACAAAAATGTGTCTATATCATTTAAAAATAGTAAAATGAGAGAGAGAGA